TCTGATTTCTTCTCTTTGCAGTTATTAAAAAGATGAGGAATGTTTCTCTAAGAAATTATTAGACATTGATTTGATACGCAAACTGTGATAAATTAACCCTTTGCACTCCAGAAGTTTTTCACCGGAAATATTCAATATTTTCTAATGAGATACAGATACATTTTCTTAGATTGAATTAAGAAATCTCACATACATTCAGGAAGAAAACTATTTTCTTTCAATATTTCGTACATTGATACATTATATAAAGTTTAATATTAAATATCAAAGTTTACAGTTTTGCTGTGTCAAATCATTTGGTGACTTAGAGGCGCCTCTGGAGTGCAAAGGGTTAAAGTCTCAATAAATGGCACGAACTTCTGGGACGATTTAATGGATTTATAAATAATTACGTGTAAGAATAGTTAATTATAGGCCTACGTGGAAGATTCAGTTCATTATTGAAACAATTGAGAGTATAGACGTTCGACGATCGAGATTGGACCATTTTAGAATTACCCTTTCTTATCTTAACCAGTCGAATAACTGGTTACAAAGTGATGGTGAACGAGTGAAACGATGCATTTTTCTCGAATTAATCGGATAATACGAGAGTTGCCGCGAAGTTAAACGGACGAAAGGAAACGCGAAATTTGTAAATAAATTTGAAAACCGGTCGCGGCACGTTCAGCGTTAAACATTGTAATCGCGCGACCACGCCGGCGACATTCTTTCTCGAGCCGTGGCCGATCTTTAATTATCACCCTGCACATCACTGCCAATTTTACTCGCCGGCTATCGCGCGGTTCCTTCTCCCTTGATTTCTGCGTTCCCGCGGCTAGCCGACGGCTGGTTTCAGCGGCCGGACGGGATCCAGATGAAAACTATCATTAGTCGCGCGATTCAAAGACATTTTTACGGGTTTCTCGGTCCCACGACCTGATTCCTCGTCCCAGCCGGCATTAATCTTCCACGTTCCTTTCTCCGGCCATTTTTACGTTTCATTTTCTGGAACGGCCCTCGCCACAAGAAAAATGTCCCCGTTCGCGATCGCGACGCCGATCGCGTCGTGTTTAACCGTTTGGATGCTAAACGACTTTTGTGGATGTTTACCAAAAATGCGGAAGTGATTGGGTGTGTATGCAAAAAAAATTAATAAGAGTATTTATCTAATGAGATCACAAATGTGTTATTACAAAAGAAATATAAAAAAATAACATTTATTTTTCCGCAATTTTGGCATAACACAAGAAGAGCGCTATGGCGCTCAGCACTCAAATGGTTAAGGGACACCATCTAGAAACGTTCAAATATAGGTAAACTTTAGGAACTCTTCTGTTAATGATTGTCAAGTGAAAACTTCCTATATCACGATTATTTAATTTTTATAAACATTGGAAACTGAGTTTTTTGGAATGAAAACAGGTTTCTGCACTTCAAATGCTCGCCATTTCTGGTAACTAGAATTTCGAAAAATCCGTATGCTGCGTTTTACATAATATAGTTCTGTTTATAAATCCCGAATTGTCCTCGACGTTTCAGTAGTTTGTAATCGAGTCGACGATGGATGTTTTACAAGGGTTCTAATAACTGCGCCATTTTGTAACATTATGACCTAGAAAATATATAAGTATAAAGCAAATGGTTATAGTTATATACTCGAAACAAATAAGAAGTACTTAATAGTTATTAACAAAAGAATTCCTAAACTTTACCTATATTTAGGACGTTAGGTGGTGTCGTCCCTTAACCCTTAGCACTTCAGGTTGTTTTGTAATCTATCAGGAACTGCAACTAATTTTTATAGTATTCCTAGCGAAAACGAGAAATGCTATAACATTTCTTCGATCTTTCATTTTCCTTCTTAGTACAAAATTTGGATGCGTGGAAAATCGAATAATTCTAGGGTAGTTTCTTTAAGATTCATTAAAGTATTTAATATTATAACTGGTGCAATATTGGAGCCTACAGAGTTCAAAGGGTTAATTCACAAAACGTCACCATTCACAGGACGATTTCTAATTGATGTAGCCGGATGGTCGTTCGATAGCATCGAAAGACATCGAGTTTCACCATTTTAGGATAAATTCCTCGTTGATTCAGACATATTTTTCGATTCTCGCTTCTCCCTTTCGAAGATCTCGCCGAAAGGAGTTTCCAGTTGGTACTTCGTCGATCGTGAATCATTGTACACATCGGAGTACCGGGCGAATTTCTTATTGTACCGGCATCGACGAAACTTCGCACCGTGCGTCACGTGTTTCTCTTTCTTCCTCGGAAAAAACTCGTTACGGAATTCATATTATTTACGAATAAGGTTCCGTGCGTTGCGCGCCCCGCGGCTTTCGAGACCGAGCTCTCTCAATAACACGAAATAAATCATCAGGTCCCGTGAGACATGCGCCAGGTATGAAATCGATCGATATTCATGAGTGCTTATTGAACTTGGGCCCCGCGCGGTCGGTCCCTGCATTAATCGGCCACTTGTTTCACGTAGACCGACAATTTGTCGGCCGGTTTCGCAACGGCCGTCCGCTTCGATGCGCATTTTTGTACTTGATCGCGAGCGCGCCCTTAATTATGTCATTCGTTCACCGATAAACGACCCGATAACGCGTGTTTAATGGGACTTGCCGACCTGAGTGAATTATGCAACTCGTGATTTGTGCTCCGATGCATCCCTCAGATAAGCAAAGGCACTGTGAGATATTGAAAAATCGTTGTAAATAGAAGCGGACCGCTATGAATCTCGGATTTCATTAGCTTCTCAGCTATAGAAGCTTTTTCCTCCGTATTATCAGTGTCTCGAAGCAATTTCAATAGAAAAATAACATATTTACATGTAAATAAATGATGTATTCTATGATTTCTTTCTATTGATCGTTGATTAAACGCGGAACGCTATGAATCTCGAATTTCTTCAACTTCTCAGCTTTAAAAGCTTTTCTTTTCATATCACCGGCAACTCGAAACAATTTCAATAGAAAAATAACATATTTACATATAAATAAATGATGTATTCTATGATTTATTTTCATTGATCACAGAATAAAGGCGGAATGCTATGAATCTCGGATTTCTTTAACTTCTCTGCTTTAGAAGCCTTTTTCTCCACATTTCCGGTATCTCGAAGCAATTTCAATAGAAAAGAACATGTTTACTTATAAATGAATTATGTATTTTATGATTTATTTTTATTGATTAAAATAGATAGTTAAAAATGATCAGTGATACAGCTGTTACATTTCAGTAGCATTTACCTTTCACTCGTGGGCAACAGAATACCCGAACTCGCGATTGAGTAGCAACTCAGCAGCCCCCCGGTTGACAAAAAACGATTTCGCATGAAAAGTGAAATTACAAAGGAGGAAAGACGATCGACCGATCAAGTTGCTGGGCTTGATCGTCTCGAGAACCTCTCCGGGAGCTTTTGTTTCGCAGCCGATTGAGCTATTCGCTCGGCCGGCGGATTTCTTCCCCCTAAAACCTGATATTCGAATGCGGCTGACGCCTATAAAATTTCGCCTTTAATTCCTTGATATCGTGTTTGGTAACACGATAACGACTTTACGCACGGTGTACTGCAACACTTTATACATAGGCGTATGTCGCGTTACACACAAAGTCCCGAATGAAACCTATACGCGTACGCGCTTCTTAATTACCTTTATCTCTTAATTCCTCAATAATTCGATTATTCCCATCTACCAATAATTCATCAATAATTCGATTATTCCCATCTAACAATAATTCATTAATAATTCGATTATTCCCATCTACCAATAATTCATCAATAATTCGATTACCTTAATTAGCCCTTCGCGGACGAAGATTCTGTGAAGTATATACAAAGCTAGCAACATATGAAACTAAATTATACCTCGAATGCTTAAACAATAGAAAGAAAGGAAACTATACACCGATCTCTTGCTACTCAAGTAATTCAATCATTCGTTTGCAACTTAGGTTTCCAAATATGAACATTTCATCTCACCAAGATGTCCGCCAAGGGTTAATTAAATCTTTGCACTCGGAAGTTTTTCACTAGAAATATTTAACATTTTTTGACGAGGCATAGACGATATTCTTTGAGATCAACCAAAAAAAAATCACACGTGCATTGAGAAACAAAGCTATTTTATTTCAATATTTCTTAAATTAATGCATTACACGAAGTATAATATTAAATATCAGATTTCATAGATTCGCTATATGAAATTAAGTGGTGTCACCTCTCGAGTGCAAAGGGTTAGAATACCAACTTTAACCTTTTGCACTCCAGAGGCACTTTGATTTAACACAGCAAAATTCCAAACTTCAATGATGACATTCTTTGCAGACGAATGTCGACATTTCGACGAAATGAAATTTTCATATTTGGAAGACTAAGTCGTTAATAAACGATTTAATTACTCGAATAGAAAGAGATCAGCACGTAGTTTCCTATTCTTCTATTGTAATTGATATATAATTTAGCTTCATCTGTTGAGGATTTTGTATATTTCAGAGAATGTTCGTCCGCAAAGGGTTAAATAGCTCCGCTCCGGAGCCCTCGAGTGCAAAGGGTTAACCCTTAACGCCTCGATACGTGAAACATTGGAATAAAACAGCTTTGTTCCTCAACGTACTGGTGATTTCTCTTTGAATTAGTCTCAAAGAACGTCTCGTAAAGAAATGTTAAATATTTCTAGAAAGAAACATCCGAGTGCAAAGGGTTAATATTTGATTTTGTCCATTTCGTGTATTTTCCACGATAAAATCGTGCGGCATTCAACGCGATAACCTTGCTCCGCCGTGAACCGTGCACGGTACCAACGGCAACGATCCTCCGTTCCTCCGTTTCCGTCGCGAACACGGCCGATAAAGAAAAACGTGTAATCCGGATCTCCTAATCATCGCTCGGTAACCGAGAGATGTGTATTCGATGCGGCAGGCCCCTCGATTTGGCCCCCCAATCAGGGGCACCGATAGGGGAAGGTCCCCTTCCTACCGTCGTCGCGCGAGTAAGCACCGCTTACCGGGAGAGTTCTCCTCGTAGAGTAAACGAGAGTCGCCATTTAGCAACGTGAGAGAGACGCGTGTTTTCGTGATGCTAGACGCTTCTAAGTAGTGGTTCCGTAGGAACAAACGCGCGGCCGCGACGTCCCCGGAATCGTCGACAGAAAAAAACAGAAGAAAAACAATCTGTCCGCCGGTGATCTTGATCGTATTCGTGTTTTTTTTTCTGTGTCACGGGTCCCGGAGAAGTGACTCCCTCGTTCTAAACGGACACGCGTGCACACAGGCGCACAGGCGAGCGTGTAGCAACGCACACACGGGCACTCACGCACTCACGCATCGTTGCCTGTTCACGGACAATGGGCAAGGACGATCGTTTCAGTTTCTCCCGACACGTTGTTTGTTTACCTGATCGAACGACGCAGCTGCAACGAAACGCGACGACGTGCCGTCGCCGATTCCAGTTCGACGATTAATTCGTCGCGGAACTACCGTCAGCCACGTCTCGAACGCGACGGGTCTCGCGGGTTTATCGCGGTGACCGTATTTTTCGCAAGCCCGATAACGAGAACGTGTTCAGTGTTTCTAGTTTCGAGGAGGAAAAAAGAAGTGTTGCTGGGAAAGAAGAATCCTTTTGTTTGACGGAATTGTAACTTTTATCGTGGACAATCGTGCATCGTTAGATCACAGTCATCGTGACACGCGTTTCGAGAAAGAAACGCGAATAGATTCGTCTCGCTGTCGGACGCGTCCACGTAAACGCGCTCGCCGATTCGTTCCGCGTCGAGCGTGAGTCGCCGGCAAGAAATCGACGGAATCGTTCGCCGGGTATCGGTTCTGTGATTTTTAGTTCGTGACGTTCGCGGGTGGCAGCCTCGAGGAAAACCTCGGGGAACGGACTGGAACAAATAATCGGTTTCCCCTGAATCGTTAATGCACTTTCTCGCACTTCGGACCACACGCCGGACGAATTTCACTTTCGACGAAATTGTCTCGCGTTTTTTCCCTACCGTTTTCCATTAGGGAAGATCGTCCTCGATGATCGAACGTTATTTTCTAGAAAGGACCGCGCTGTTTGTCGTGCCGTGTGAAAGGTAAATTGTCCGGAGGTAAATGAAAGATGCTCGAAGAAGTTGCATTGTAGACGAGGGACTCGTGTTCGGACACGTGTGTGTTTATGTGTGAGTGTATGGGTGCGCGGTAATGAATTACGCGTAAACGCCACACGCGGCGTTCGTGACGCAATGATCCTTGGAAATACAATTCATTTTTCCTTCTTTTTTTCCTTTAAATGTGCCGTCGGTGCTTGTGGAAAAATTGTTACGTAAAACGGAAAGATAATCGTCGTGCTGCCCGAGGAAGGTTTAATCTGAAATTTATTCGAGCGGAATGAATATTTTTTTTTGCATTCTTATCGACTATGATAATCCTTCGTTGTTATCGACCGGAATGATAATCCTTTGTTCTTATCGACCGGAATGAATTTTTACCGGTCGGACCAGAACGGAGAAAGTCTACTATTTTTCTTTTCCATTTGTAATGGGAATTTCGTTGGATGTTCATTTCAGCCGATGTAATTTAACGAGGATATAGCCACGCGTTATCTGTAACGTGAGAAAATAACTCTCTCGTGTCTCATTGCCGCAGTTATTACGAGTGATATCACGGATGCAAATCTAGCTTCTCACCTTAGCGCGTTGAACTCGTGCTCAATATCGAGTTCGATCGGAAACACGGGTTCATAACGCTTTATATCGTTGATTAATAATTGTTACCTTTACCATTCCGATATTGTGTAACGAGGAATAATCAAAGCGATGAATGGAAAATGTCTGCAATCACGGAAACAGATTAATGCGTAAAAATCGCTGCAGTTCCTCGAACCGGTTTCATTCTTGTTCTTCACGATCAAAGAAATTTAATTGGTACGAGAAACTAGTCGCCAGGGATTCCTTTCTTACTTAAACAATTCGGTAAATTATTTTTACCGGCGCACTTGTCGATACTTCAAATCATGACACATGGAGTATTCAAAAATGCGCGGTACAAGAATTTCTACTAAAAAAAATTGGAAATGGAAATTCATTTTCCAAATGTTTTTTAAATAATTAGGATACATCGATGATTTCACGTGCACGCTCAGGATTTTCTGGTCATTTTTTCCCCCTCCGAGTGAATGGTTACTTTTTGCACCTCTTACGAAAATATTACGTTTATCGATGTGTGCCATCTTAATTAGCAAGTTGTTAATTTCAAAGGAAATCAGAAGATCACGTTAACTGGTTATGCCACAATGAAGATTTCTCACACTTTAATGGTGTTTCCTGAAATCATGTTGAGGACAGAGTTATATTCTACACAGTGTATGAAATCATTCAGAGTTTCTATTCTTCGTTGACTGTATACAGTAATTGTAAATTCCCCTGTAAAATGAATGATGCTGGTGTGATAGTGTCAAGCGGCCACCGCTGCTTGCACAGAGGATTAAAAAAGTATCCTAGTATTGATCATAAAATATGGGATCCGAGTAGTAGATGGATTCTTCAGTGGGATAACATTGTGAAGCACCCAGGTGCTAGAGCAAGAGGATGCCATTGTGACATTCATAAGCCGCCATGGCTCTATCCAGACTTAGGTACACAGTTCTAAAAATAGATGTATTGTTGACTACAATAGATTATGTTCTACGAATTAATCAGCTGCATTTAACAAGCATAATATTTCTGCCAGTCTAATGCTTATTTCAATTTCTCTTATTGCAGTTGGAAAGAGCACGGATGAGACGGATAGAGCTGTAAGTGTTTCTTATAATGTTATTATTTTCTTAAGTGGATCTATAAGAAATGAATTTGTAAATATGTATTATTAAATATTGCAGATTAAATCAGCTCCCGTGAAGAGGTCAACTATTCCTCCAAAAAGGGGACAATTTGGTCCTGCAAAAGCTCCTCCCTCTGCTATAGGTATATATAGGTTTAATAGACGGTCATTAACAAATGTAATTGTGTATAAATTAATAACGCTGAAAGATAACAATTATTTTTTATTTGTTTATTTTGAGCATGATACATATTATAATATAGTGAAGCAGGTGTAATTTAAAATGATTCAACTTGTAGACCAGTAAAGTACAGTAAAGTAAAATATAGTATATTTTAGAGTATATTTAAAAGTATATTCATTAGAGGCAGAAATAAAAATAGGTATTCCTCAGGTATTTACTAAGTATTTTTAAATAACTTGTGTTTATGGTTCCTAAATGATACATTTAATTATTAATTTTTATTTGATAAACTTTTATTTGTTGTGTTATATGTCAATCAAAGTGTTTTGTGTGCTACAAGCTATTTATATAAAACATCACTGTTTCGATTATCTTGTATAAGTGTTGCAAATCTTGTAACTATCTATAGAAGCACATATTTTTCTTGCAACCACTGCACAGATGTGAAGCGTGCTAACTTATAACTCCTATGCTTTTACTTTTAATGTGGCTCAGCATCTGAAATAATATTAATGATGTCTTTACAATGATCACCGGTAAAATGTCGATATCGCTATTGATATTTTGGGTGACAAGAATGCTAATTATTGGCTTGCATGACAGCTCAACCTGGTAATACTCTGCAAACGGTTCCAAGGGCAGCAACCGTGAAAAGAAACGTATCAATAAAATCAGCAGCAGGTATCTAAAACTCCATTGGCTTAACTAGTTCTATTTTATATCATGGTGGTTCCTGTGATAAGTTCTGTATGTTACGTTAAAATCTTGTTATATTTATATTTTTTACCCCCTTCTTATAAACAACCATCATGGTATAAATGACAAGAATAAGAGATTAGGAAAATTCCATTGAATTAATACCGATCATGTACCGTACATATTTTGGTTTAAAGTCCTTGCATATCATTGCTTTGTTTTATTCATTTGCTGAATTGAATTGTACTTAATCTAACGCAAGCGTGATGTTTACCGAAATGCTTATACGTATTTGATCTTTCTGCACCGCTTTTTATGTCACATTGTTTACTCCATAATTCCGTGAAGCACAATACGTTTAAAACAATAAGGTATTGTATGATACACAGTCATTGAATTTTTATTAATCCAAAGATATCATATGTTCAAGGGTAAAATTCATTAAACGTTTCCGAGATTGTCATAATAAAAATCATTAACCGAAACGCCATAATCGGATGCCATGAACATTGCAAAGTAATATTATAAGTGACAAGTATTATTTACAAATGTTTATGTATCTCTATGGTTGTATAAAATTATCATTACTATATATAGGTCAGGCCGGTGCAGTCGATGAGGAAACTTTCCTCACAGCGTTCGAAGATGTGCCATCTGTCAACTTGTTTTCAGCGAAGGATCTTGATGAACAGATGAAAGTCATTAAAGAAAATGTTGGCGACGACAAGAAAGATTGGAAACAGAGGACAGAGAGTGTACGTACATTGTCAAAATTAAATTGTTCTCATAGGATACAGCGGTCTAAGCCGGGATAAATATACCTAATAAACTTAATCTTTTCTATCAGATGAAAAAATTGCGATCGATTGTCATTGCGGGTGGTATAAACTACGAGAACTTCATCGAATGTTTGAAGAGCATGCAGAGATCATTCGAGGTCGCGTGTACGGACCTCAGGTCGCAAGTTGTCAGGGAAGCGTGTATTACTTTAGCGTTTCTTAGTCAACACTTGAAAAATAAGTTCGCCAGCTTTGGAGAGGCAGTCTTACTCACCTTAATGAACCTCATACAAAATAGTGCCAAGGTAAGATTCCTGATAAATTGCCGGTAACGCGGCTGACGTATGGGAACCGTAACAAAATGAAGTAACTTGTGTCAACAAATATGCACATACAGGTTGTGGCAACAGCTGGTGCTGTGGCTGTGAGGTTCATTCTACAAAACACACACTGCAATCGTTACGTGCCAATTATCACGTCGTGTTTAAGTAACAAAAGTAAAGACATACGTCGAGCATCGTGCGAGTATCTGAATCTAATTCTGCAAACGTGGCCTACCCAGATATTACAGAAACATGTACAGATATTACAAGACACTATCAAAAAGGGTATCGCGGATTCGGATTCGGAAGCAAGAGCTTTCGCCAGGAAGTGAGTTGTCATTGAATGATCAAGCTTCATACTCTGATATACAAATAAATACATATGAAATATTTTCAGGTCGTATTGGGCATTCAAAGATCATTTCCCAGAGCAAGCGGAAGCGTTGCTCAACAGTCTTGACACTGCGTACAAACGTTCTTTAATGTCTCTTAGCAATAGTGGTAGTATTAACAGTTTGAATGTAGTAACAAGATCGGCGAGTGTCAGTCCTAGGACAGCCAGACCAGCGATGAGTGCCACAGGTGAACTACATTTTTTTCTGTTTTTTTTTTCTCACTTAATTCCAATATGATATTTCTAATGGATATAATTAGGTCGTTCCATAAATTTACGTGGAAACATAAAATTATGGAGTGACCTAATAATCAAGCTAAATGTAAATAGAGTATCGGTCAGTGAAAGAGCAATGCAGTGTAAAATACTTATCACTTTTTTTCATGCTGCTTTTGTGACTCTTCTTTGCGTTAAACATATGAAGGTAGTACGGAAAATTTGCATCAGACTGCGGGTCAACCACACGGCCCGCTCAGACGTACCCCGTCCTTGCCGCGGTCTTATCGTCAGTCTGGTATCCCAGTTCTACAGAGACCCACTGATAGTCATTGTAATTGTCATAGTCCTGTCTGTTGCTTCAATGATCACAGCGACTTTAGAATATTGCACCCATGCATCCGATACACAACCATGCCACCAATACACTCTTATGTATATTAGCCTCTAAACTTTTTCTCAGATCGTGGCACGCCGGGAGTTAGATCTACCAGCGCCATAGATCTGCAAGCCGCACAAAGAGCGAAAGCGAGGATGATGTATGCAAACATTAGTAGGCAGAAAGCGTCCCTCCGTGAGTGTTGCTTATTTGAATTTCCTTTTCAACTTTGTTGTGATACGCGGTTTCAAGCAAACTGACATACTATTATTGCTTCATTCAGCACGTCCCAGTAAATCACCAGACACCACAGCGGTGGCTAGTCCAGAAAGAACCGCAAGAACGAGAACGAGAATGTCCGGAGTGTCGCAATCTCAGCGTAAGTAGAAAGAAAGGCTCCCTTTGAAGAAACATGATATATAAGAAGGATTTTCATTTCTGTATTGCACGGCAACAGCCAGCAGTCGGTCGGGATCACCGTCATCTAGACTGAGTTACGCTACGTATAATCGCGAAGGAGAATCCTTGATCGCAAGACCGAGGCGGTTATCTGGACATGGAATCAGAAGCACTGGCAACAGCCGTGAACCTAGCCCACAAAGGTTTGGAATGGATAGGAGTTTCGCTAGTAAAATACGGTGTGTTACTTGACAGTTACACGGTACAAGTGTTCTTGTATTAACACAATGAAAGAATAATTCTATGAAACATATTTTTTTTACTGGATCAGAGGAAGAAGCTTACACATGTCTCCGACGGACAGACCTCAGTCTAGACCGGTCATGGCACAGAAAATGCTTCAACAATCGCGTGAAGCGGAATCGGCACTGGCGGATGCGCTCACCTTTGATAATATCGATAGTTACACGAGAACGCCAAGGGGTAAAGGTGATCATAGTGACGACAGTGAAACCAGCAGTATATGTTCTGAAAGGAGTATGGACAGCTTCAGACGACCGAATGACGTAAGTAACAGAGTATTATGAAATCTTGGCATAGTGATAAAAAGCAGTGCTCATCTTACGATCGAAGTAGAAGAGTTAAGTAATTAAGTAGTAATAACATATTCATGAAGCCGTTTTCATGCGAAATGCTCATCGAACGAACGATTAAACGCGTTACTTGGCAACTGACTTGCGGCACAAGATCGAATACCAGCACACTTGTACATTATTTCTCAAATACATTGCAACAAGAATTATCCCTCTGCATTAACATTATAGACATACTTCAGATAATTACTGTACACCATGCTTTCTTAATATATGTTCACTTGATTTATTAACGCTTCTCTAATGTTTATGTGCGAGAAAGATACTTATATACCACATATGCGGCTGCAATATTATTTTCATTTAAGGGTTACCATTTGCTGCGCAGTTCGAAGATTATTAGCTTTCGGGTTCAAGAAACGTCATGCTGTACGCTCACGCAAAGGCATTGTCATTTCCGTTCTATAAATTCACGGTGTTGAATCGTTTTTATTTTATAATACAATATAGCGATTTAGATATTTCTCTGTGGGTTCCCGTTTCTCATCGAACACATACCGATTTCCTAATCACTACCCTCGCGAGGGTAGACTCTTAAATTCGGAAGCTTGAGCGACCAGTGCTTCCAGCATCCTACAACAATGTAGATAACGCATGTCTGGTTTTTTCTTTTGGTTTTGTTGCGGCGTATTTGTTTGGTTTGGACTAACGCGATGCGCCGTTCTGTTCTCCATATCTGTCCATCGTCCATCTACCCATTAGTCGTTCTCATGGAGTGGCTCCCAGCAAAGACTGTACCGTGATATGTGGGATCAGTCTATCCCGAAGGTTTGTTAACTTTACTATTCGTATCCGTTATACTCCATACAAATGTACTATACTCTTCTGCCATAGAAAACGAGATTCTTTATTTCACAAATAAGATTCCTGTTTAACAGTCGTTATTATCATTCGTCGTACTGTGCACCGTTACATTACATGGGAACGTTGTTTTGCAGGATATTAAGGAAATTATTGAAAATTGTGCGCATAAACATTGGGGAGACAGGAAAGAGGGTTTGGTAGGCTTGCAACATTTCCTTTCGAACGGGAACACGCTCACGGCGACGGAGTTGCGCAAGGTGACAGATATTTTCACCAAAATGTTCATGGACTCCCATACAAAGGTCTTCAGTTTATTTCTGGACACACTGAATGAACTGGTCGCCACTCACAGCGAAGATCTCGGCGACTGGCTTTATGTCCTGTGCGCGAGGCTCTTGAATAAATTAGGTACCGATCTGCTTGGATCGATCCAGGCGAAAATTCACAAGACACTCGATGTCGTCAGGTGAGCTGTAACATGTGACCTCTTAACTTACATACAGGGTGATGCATTTCCAAAAGCTTACCCTTGTATTAAACATCAATCTTAAATAAGATTCAGTAATAATTATTGACGATATCTTCGCAGAGAATGTTTCCCAGGAGAACAGCTACTGCCCGCGGTGATGAGATATCTCACAGATCCAACGCAAACTCCGAATTCCCGCGTGAAGATAGCTACCCTCACGTTCATCACGCAAATAGCGGAAACGGCAGAACCGTCCGCGTTAATTAATTCCGCGGGGACAGCACTCGCAAGGTTACTCGATTGGTCCAACGACGTTAAAAGTCAAGACGTCAGGAGACATGCACAAAACGCCGTAATATCACTGTACAATTTAAACCCCCCGAAAGTGACCATGATATTATCCGAATTACCTAAGTATTATCAGGTTAGAGAGTGTGCTTAACAGCTGGCTGTAATTCTATCTTGTACTGTACCGTCGTGTAATGTCATTTTGAACACCGTAGGAAGCTGCATTGCCACTGGTACAGAATCACCTGAGAAAATCCTCGGGTTCCAGTAATCCAGCGTCGCCTGGCACTCCACCTCCCAGAGCACAAAGTTCACCGGCCCGTTCGAAGGTTAAAGAAGAGCTGTTGGTTAAAATAGACAACGCTGACGAGAATTTGGAAGAAGTTTATAAGTAAGTCATTGGTGCATTCGTGTGTCGAACATCCGATTACTTTTCATTCTTCGTCATTTTAATTTTAAAGTATTCCCCACAGGTCGTTAAGGCGCACCACTGCGGAAATTCAGAACTATGGTTTCGAGCGTTTGGAGAGAGCAACCACCAGCAAAGATAGCGGCATCAGCAATATGGCCGACGTGGAAGAAAAAATGGAAGGTCTCACGTTATGTAATTCGGTAAGAAACACTGGACGTTGATATGTGTCACTCGTAAAACACGACTTCTTTTTATATCGCTCTTTGGGTTTGGTAGGGTCGTTCTTCCTCCGTTTCATCGCCCACTCAAAGAGGACGGTCAGTCACGAACATCACCGTTAATGGATCGAGTGATACGATCGCAGGAGATCTCATACTACCTCAAGAAAATAATGGCTACAAAGCGCATAGTATGTTTACTAATTTACATTCAATGAACTTTTCGCTTCATGGATTCAATATGTTTAACATTTTGATATATAGCAGGGTCTTCGCCTGATTCGTCAAAAAGGCCGGAAGTCTTAGATAATATGATTAAAACGCTACAGTCGAAGATGACCCAGATCGAAGAAAAAGTATTAGCTCTACAAGAGTTCCAATTATACGTTCGAGAAGGAGATCCCGCGTACATCAAACAGCATTTCAAGTAAGGTGTTTCTTCATCTGTTTGTATTTATTGAGGCGGCACTACGACAATTGTAATTTGTATTTTTCCCCTTCTACTTTTAGAAAATTGCTCAAAACACTGTTAGACAGTTTAACTAACGATAGCAAGAAAATGCAAGGAGAAGTACTTCAAACGCTGATTGACATGCTGAAGTGTCCTGAACTCGTGGACAGTTTTTCCGTTTACCCCGAGCTGCTTGTTCTAAAAGTAATTAATGCGTACAAATTGGACGATCAAAAACAAGATTCTTCCGGTAGCAGCAGTAACACGAGATCTCCCGTGAGTATCTTACATGAAATAATGCTACTTGTCAAGAGTAATCCAATGCTCCAGGTTATTAACAATGCTGTATGAAAAATTAGGTTCACTGGATGGCAGAGAAATGCGCTGCGACAATAGCGATGGTTCTCAAGCCGGAGCAGATCATTCATTTAGTCTCAACTATAATCACCACAGAACCGTATCCTTTGAATATGGGGGCGATAAAAATGTTGCACAAAGTAGTGGAACACTGGGGTCGGGATGCGATAGAACCTCATCTATCCAAAGTTATGCCCGGTCTTATTAAGGCAAGTTGAAACATATTGTGACAGCATCGCATTAGTTTAAAGCTGAAAAGTTAAAGCTTGGAAAGTGGCATCAGTTTTAGCTTCGATGATGGTGTTAACAATGAACTTTATTTCCACAGGCTTATGACGATAACGAGAGTGCGGTACGCAAGAGCGCCGTCTTCTGCATGGTAGCGATACACTTGGCAGTCGGCGAGGAGGTATTGAAGCCGCATTTGAGCTGTTTGTACACCAGCAAGTTGAAGCTTTTGAACATTTATATACAACGTGCGCAACAGGCGAACAGTCAACCGGCAAGTCCGCGTAGCAATAGCAAGAATTAACTAACGTCAAACTCCGCGACACTCAGGATCGCGATACTTAAGAGATTCGCTCGTCTGAGTGCGAGGCATGAACGAATGCTGGTTAGCTTTCTCAGTAAGTCCAATCCGTGAGAAACCGTAAACACGACAAAGTCGGAAGCTTCTCGTTACGAATATTATAGACTGATCTTGTACGGCGTTATGGCAAGATGGTTTTGCGCGTGTGCGACATGGCTGAACTCCTGACAGTGATGTTGCACGACAAAGCAGTCGGTCGGTGTGCATGTTCCGCGGGGGCCCGTTGTTTTGTTTGCCAAAAAGAAAAAGAAAGAATTTATACATGTTGCAACGTATAAGAGTTTCAGATTCGTTTCGTCCTTTCGTTTCTCTTGTAGCAGTT